AATAAAAAAATCGCTAATGAAAAATCCCGATTTTCGACTAAGAAAAAATATCGTAGTATGCCCTGAAACTTTAATGAACATTTCAAATTTTGTCCCAAGGTAGACCTTTTAGTACTTGACATTTAAAAAAAAATTATTAAAATCTATTTACAACTTCAAATTTTAGGGGGGTGTTTCCATTAAAAATGGGTCACACTGTAGGTAATTCAGCACATTTTATCCACAGGGAATATAATATTCAGAGCAAATTTTTATCAACGACTTAATAACTGATTGAAAGTCTTTCTACTGAAAACATTTACAATCAGAACCTCCACCTCCATTTTTCAATGTTCCTTACAAAGTTCCAAGTTTCAATACATCTTCAGCCAGTAAAACACAAACGACTGTCAAAAAATGCAGTTATCAAAAATTCAAATAATATATTGTGATAGGCACAAGAAACAATATAAGCTATGTGGAACTATTTTTAACCACAAAATGTCTCCTCATGAATACCAACACGTACGAAAAAAACATCTAGTAAAAAAAACTCACCTTGATCTAGGATATGCTTCGAATGAAACCGAGTATTCCACCAGAAAACACAGTAAAAATTCACCACAGTGAAAACTATTCCTGATTCTCCCGACGTCCAACTACGCAATATTATACTCATGAAAATTTGGCGTGAAACATTCAATACCGAACGACCAACACTGCATGTTCTGTGCATATGCAATATGCAAGTGCAGATCGTAGGTCGGCAGCAAATTATTCGAATCCATTGGTCCTTAGCAACGTGTATGGGTTACCGCTTCGGCAGGTTTCGTGAAGTAGAGGGGATGTTTCGTGAAGCACAATATCTATCGACGCCGAAGATAAACGAAATTCCTCTCTTACGATCAGTACGCGAATCGAAACGTCTAGGGCGCCCTCTGCCGTGTCTGCCTGGAAAATGGAATGCAATCGTGCGACCCCAGCCAAGCCGAGTTATTTTTCTCGATAGTCTTACATCCTACTTTTCATTTTCCATTCAGAGCACGAGGAAAGCTACATTGTTTAAGATTTAACTTTAATTAATGTGTATGAGGTTGTTACAGTTTTTTTTTCGCAGACGAATTCTCACGAAGTTGGTCGAAGATCATAAATATTGATTTTTGGTAGGTACCTAATACAAAAGTTGAAAGTAAACTACAAATTTACTTTATCTGTCTCTCTCTTTTACTCATTCTCTCTTTAACTTATTCAAAATCTAATCTATTCTCTTTATAAAATCAAACCGTTCGATGATTTTGTGACATCCAAATATCTAGCGGTTGCTTTCTCCTACGAGGGTGGTAACAGAAGTGCTCGGCCCAACAAAGAACGCACAAAAATTTTGGAACTATTGTATTTCTTTTTCAACATAATCTCCTTGCAGCTCTTTTTCCAGCGACGTACAATAAGTTTGATACCGTTTTTATAATAAGAATTGTCTTGCTCCTCAAAATAGCTATTAATTGACGACATCACTTCTCGGCTCGGGACTAAAGTGATAAACCCATGTTTCATCCATGGTTATGAAGTGACACACGAATTCTAGTTTGTTGCTGTGAAACTTCGCTAAATACTCATTAAAACATCTTCACAACATTGTTTTGGCTCGAGTGTGAGCAAACGCGGCACCCATCTTGCACACAGCTTTCTCATGTCCAAATTTTCAGATAATATAAAATGTAGGTACGCACTTNCACATTGATCTCAAATTTGGATGCGAATAGTGTAATAGTTCTTGACAACGCTTCCTATCATTCGCGACAGCTCATCAAAGTACCGAATAAAAATTCGAGGAAAGATGAAATACAAAGTTTTTTAATGGATACTGATTTGTATTTTGAAGATAACTATACCAAAAACCAACTACTTGAAGTTTTACAGACAAAAACATTTGAAACACCATACTAAGACCTACCTCCTATTTTTTTGTTTTCAAACCCGTCGAGTTGATTTGAGGAAAATTGAAACAAATACGCATGGGGGTGAAAGTAATTTTCCAAAATTTGATAAGAAGGTAATAGAGCTATTTAAAGAAGTATCTAATATTACCGAAGAAGAAAATGATTAATAAAGTAATTTCAGTTGAAAAAGACTATATGGAGATTGGACACTTCCATATTAATGGTGGAAATAAATTCATTATTGATTTAAATGACGATAGTGATAGTGAAATAGAGAATATGGAAAAAATATTATCGAAAGCTTTCGAAGAAAGTTAGTGAAGTGTTTTGATGGCTCACAAACAAATACTAAACAACACAGCGTCTTCAAACTTGAAACATATGCTTTATAGATTATGTACTTTCTTGTACCGTGATAGTATTCAAACAACTACCGCCATCTCTAAGTCGGGTCGGGTAATTTTTGGACCACCCTCGTAACATAAAAATTTGAAAATTATAAGTGAAATACTCTTCTGAGCCATAGTACGGTCGATTATATAATAGTTCGTTTACAGCCTTTTTTTGAAATGTTCTATTGCTGATGTCGACGATCATTCAGTACCGGTTTGTGGATTTTCTTCACCGTTTCTGAAGTCATCACCTCATTTGGTGGACCACTGCAATGCTCGTCTTGGCAGCTCGTACGGCCTCGTTTAAACTCTGCTACCCAAAATTTTACTGTTGAAAACGAAGGAGCATAAGACTCGCCCAGAGATTGTTACGTGTTAATTCACCTTTTTTTGATGATTTTCGTTAAATTACCTAGAAAAAAAAATGTATACAACTTCGATGATTATTTATTTATTGTTATGACATTTTTTGAAATAGTGCTTCCATGAGATCCGTTAAATTCTAAGTTTCTGTACCTTGAAAATAATACGCTCTGTATATTCAATTGCATCTAGTTATCATTCAATCACTTACCATCAATCAGTTCTTGTTAGTAATTGCCTTGTAGTAATTGGTGCTTCGAGTGTTCTCTGAGATTCCTGTGAAATACAAATACGAGAAATAAATAACCTAACATTCTCATATTTAGTTCTTCAAAATATACATTTACATCAATGTTGACTTAAATTGTGTATTATCCTTCGCAGTTAAAATTTTCTGTCTTATTATTGTCAATATCATTCGCCGGCGGTAAGTCTGTAGCTGGTTTTCTTAATTGAAAAATCATTATTTTTCTGCATGTCCCCCTCTCGTACTCGTAAAATAGGGTTGGAAAAGGAAATTAAAAATATCAATGCCGGTTTGCGAATAAGCTGGTTTATTCAATAGTGCTTCAACAGCTATTCAGGTGCAAACCCATACCATGATCTGGTAAGGAATTTTTCAACAAAAATATATATTCTTTACACCGATAGCAGACAGAAAAACTCCAGTATGGGGAACCAAATGACACCGTGGGAAGGATAGGGGGTTGTGAAGTATATTAAGCTCATGTGATGCTCAAAGGTTATTAGGTTTCACTGGTAGTACCTATGCGATTCAACGAAAATAGTGTTGATATACAGGGTGTAACAGGGTGTAACCACATATTCTGGGGTAAACATAACTGGATTGGATATCACTTACATTTATGCAAATGTGTACACAAAAAAAGTTACAGCCCTTGGAAATTACAAAATGAAAATCGATGGATGCATGGCTTATTCATCGTGAGACAATGAAATATGTTCAGCTCATAAAAATTTTAGCGCTGAATCCCTTCAAACTTTTCTATGCGATATAATTGAATTGTTATTGTGACACCATTGGTTGAATACATTATGGTTTTGATTTTTTTACCTCATAGAACTTTTTCGAAAAGTCAGTTTTTATCGAGATGCAGGCTCTATGTTTAATTTGCAATGAAACCATAGCTGTTCTCAAAGACTATAACATTAAACGACACTATGAATCGAAACATCTTCAAAGTTACTCCAAGTATACAGGAAGTTTGCGGAAGGAAAAATTTGAAGCTTTGAAACGCGGACTCAAATCGCAGCAATCTTTGTTTACCAAAGC